AAAAAATTCTTAGCAAGTCAGATCTCTGATCATATACAAGGTGAGAAGACTTTTTTGATTAGAAGAGTTGAAGATATTACTCCACATGGCAGTATCTTATTAGTATGTGTTGTAACTATATTAATTGTCATGTAGTTTTAGATAGGATCTCTTCTAAATTTGTAATAAATTATATTTTTTCCAAGTATAAATAGTAGATAAATCTCATTGAATCTGTAATTTATTGATAATAAAATTTCTCAGAACTGTTGAGAAATTCTCTCTCTAGATTTCTTCTCTCTCAAGCTTGTAACCAACCATTAACATATGACTTTCTTGATTCAGTTCATACTTCTTGATTATTTTCTTATTGATTTTGGATTCTACTCATCTGTTCTTAATTGATTATATAATTCTCAAGATCACTGGACTTTCAATAACAAAATCGAGAGTTTTCTTATCGACGCATACGACGGCACCTTAAAATCACGCTTGTCCATGCTTATTGCAAAAACTCGATGCATAAATGAATCTCGGTCATGCTCTTCACAATTCTTCACTTATCTTCTTTTTCTCCTTCTCGTCTTGTCCAATCTTCTCTATATCTAGTTCTTCACCCATTCTTCTTCATCATTCACTCCACAATCATCAACCATTCCATTAGCTATAAGTACCGAATCTCCACCTAAAATCTGCACAGACTTACCCAAAAGTGTATGAAATCACTTCAAAACAACCTATACCATTTGAATAAAAAGAGAATCAAACGAAAACAAACTTAAAAATGCATGAATGCGAGCTAAAATGCACATGAAATGTAATATAAAGTTATGACAAACCATGAATAAGAATGCAATAAGCAGTTGCCATCCAAGTTGTCGCCTGATGAAAGGAACTAGCCGACCTCGGGCACGAACCAAGTCGCGGAAGAAGTTGTGCGGAGCATTGTCCTTACATCAACATTCTAGTGAGTTGCACGATTTAGGGCGTGAACCAAGCCACGAATCTAGCCGCATTATCCACTGACTTCAATTCCCTTTAATTTCTTTTGAGCAACATCAAAGGAATTACCAAAATTCAACACACCAAACAGCAACATCACGTATGTTTTTATTCCTACTATTACATCACAACTAAGAAAAAAAACAAAGCATATGAATGATTTTTCCCTAAAGACCAACTTCAAAATCATTATTAGGGATAAATCCAACTAGTAGGAACATTAATTTTATTTTATTATATATATCATAGAAATTGTGAATGGTTTGAACAAATAAAATGTGTATTACCCCATGCCCATACCTAATCTAAGATGTTATTATGCTTCTTATTTGGTATCGTATATATTTTACTCCTTCCTCTCAAAAGAAAGATATATTATGCTCAATAGCCGTCAAGCCTCATCGTTGCCACGAGCCAGCAACAAACATCATTCACTTCTTCTGGGATAGTGTAGTGACCAAGCCTATACAAAAACCAATCCCACAAAACTATAAACGCTAGAAACGGCACTCACAACAATAAAATTGTATTTATAGTACGTCAAAAATGTCTAAGTGTCTTAATATACAACTTTATAGGACTCGGGTTTATAGGACCAAACAACACTTTGTTCTATGTGTAAGGTGTTGTTTGGTTCGCATAATTAAAATTAATTCAAAGGAATTGGAATGATTAATTCCTTTGATCAAATTTCATTTCATTTGTTTGGTTCACATATTGAAATGGATGGAATCCTTTGAATTCCACAAAAAAAATTGATCATTCCTTAGCATAAGTGAAAGATTTGAATTCCATCACCAACCATCATTTGCTTCCACCACGACCATGCTACTATTGTTACCGTCACTATGCCACTACTATCATCATCACAACTACCCATGGCCACTATCCAACCATGTGGTTGCAAAAGGGGTAAGCAAGGACGAGGCATAGTACGGGTGGGAGTGGGAGTGGGAGTGGGAGTAAGGGGTTGGGCAGGGT